CCAAAATCAAGAGTCGGACGCTTAACCGACTGCGCCGCCCAGGCGCCCCTGACACGTGAATGATTCTTAATTCTGGTTCTGGAATAACCACCTTCCTGTGTATGGTGACACCCCTCTTTGCGTGTTTTCAGGAACTTTCAAAGCTGCGCCCTCGGTCGGGTGCGGAGGACGTGGCACGGGGAGTGGGGCAAGGCCACTCCCCGGCGGGGAGCAGGCTCGGGGAGGGACGCCCACGAGGGTCCCTCCTTCCTCCCACCGTCCCCGGGCGTGCGGCCACCTTGTCGGTCCTCTGCGAGGAGCAGCTGAGAACTGCAAGCCGCGGAGAACGGCGGTGTGCTCGACCCCGACATCTCTGCTCCAGTGAATGGCTTCGGGTGTTGTGCACAACCCCGACTTCTTTTCTTCTGAGAAAACAGAGACAACCTGGCCGGAGCCTAGGAAGCCAGGGATTTGGGGGGCGGTGAGTGGTTCACCCCGGTCCTGAATTTCAGCGGCGTCTCCCGGGTCCGGGCTCCCGGCCTTGAAAGCAGCGTGGGCAGTGGGGGAGGGAAAGCGCGGGGACTCTGCTTCGGTTTCATGTCTCCAGGACGTTTTACTTAATCTCTTTTAACAACTCTGGGGCCTGGGAAACTTGGTGGGTCTACGGGACCGGATGTCATCCCAGCAGTCCTACCGAGGTATCGACGTTGGCTTTTTTGCAGTAGAGACGAGACAGATGAGAAACATCTAGGGTTGCGGACGAGCCCGGACGTTGCACGGTTTGCTTGGAGGCCATCTGCACCCAAAGGTTGTGGAAACGCTGCGAAGGCACGTAGCTGCGGAGACGTCCCCCTGAGGCGTGAAAAATAATACAAAAACCCCACGTGCTCAATGGTTTTGGGTTCCTGCACAGATTTATCCTTGAGAGACTGAAAACTGGCACTGGCAGGAAACGGAGATACAAATCACCAGAAAAGCTGGTGACCTGTGTCATCGTAACACATTGTAGACACTACCACGCTGGGAAAACCTGGTGCGTCTGGACTCCACGTTGCTCCGTTTCCTTGGCTGCCGTGACCCGGGGCCTGGAAACCTGCGCTCAGCCCTGCGCGTGAGCGTGCTAGTTGTTGAAGGAACGTCGCGGACGGCCGAGACTCGTACAAACCGCCCGACGGGAACCCCACGTTCCCCTGAGCAGATACGGAAGTACGTATAGAAATAACGTCGCTGTGTCCAAGACTTATAGGACCATGGTGACAGGCTTCCTATCTGCAAAGATCGAGTGACCAAGGACAAAGGAGTTTCACGGTCCCTCTCAGACCCCTTCTGGCTCCCGGATGTTTGCGGTCATCGGCCACCTTTGGACTCCAGCCCCTCCTGCCGCCCTTTCTCTCGACACAAAGGAAGCCTGCATTTGTGCCGAGGCAAGATGGTTCTCCGGGATGACGGTCCGCCACCTTGGTCTGCTGGCTTCCCGGGCAGGGTCACTTTCCTGACCCCAACACCTGGCCTCTTGACTTACTGGCCTGTCACACAGCAAGTGAAACAAACTCAGACTTGGTTACGGTGACCCCCAAACCAAGTTCAAAAAGCCCAGTTTCACTGTGGGGCTCTTCATGGACGCATCAAGCTGGAGACGGCGATGTGTCGTTCAGAAGCAGGCACCTTTTCTGAAGGCTGTACCTAGTCTATTGTTGCAGCCCATGTACAGTTCTGGAATATAGAAGCAGAGCTTCGAGCTGCTTGTGGAGGGTTCCAGAGGGCCTCCCAGGAGCCCCGCCCTATGAGAAATCGTCTCAACACAGCCAAGTTCAGACACTGCCGATAGTGGCAATGAGGACCCCTCCTGCCTGAGAACCTTTCACAAAGAGCAGGGTCACGGCGAGAGGGAGAGGAGGGGTACAGGGGGCAAGAACTGGACCGTGTATCTCTGGCTTCAGAGGGCGTGCTGTGAGGGTCCCAAACGTGGCCCGGCCGGACAGGCGCGGGCCTGAGGGCTGCTGGGTGCCCTTCACCTCCAAGGGGACAGCGCTGCCCTGTCCTGCGAGCAAGCGGCTCGGTGAACGCACGCCAGCTGAGTCTTCTAGTCAGGAAATGGAGAAGACGCTTCACAGGTTCGGGAGTCTCGGCGAAATACAGACACAATCTAGGAGCCGGGTGCTCTGAAGGATAAGGGGACAAGCTTCTGGGAGCCGCTGAGCCCAAGCCCGGCTGTGAGGCCAGCCCTGCCGTCACACCGTCTGCAAAGCACCGCGTCGGCCGCGTCACTTCCCGCAGGCCACCCTTTTATAGGCACCACTGAGGTCGTGACAAGGGCTTCAGAAGCTCCCAAGCCGTGCCACCTTACGATCACGTAACTGAGTTTGCGGTGACACGGCGATTTCAAAGTGAACGGTGAACTTGCTTTGTTTTTAACACTGGGCCGTCTGAACCTCCACGTGGGACATCTGAGCCACCCGGGAAGGACCAGAGCGCCAGACAGGGCGCCGTGGAGGTACGGTCACGCGGCGGGGACGACCCGGGGGGTGTTTCGATTGCTTGGGTGAATGCCAACTCTTTTGTGGTTCACTTTCCCTGTTCATCTTTCTAAAAGGGCCGCTAGGGGAGACGATGAGCTGGCATCGGTGGGGAGTGGCTGCCTCCGCCCTTTGTAAGGGCAACGGCTGAGATTCACTCAAGCTCAGCCCGCAAGTTGGAGGTGAGGCTGGTGGGGCAGGGGGGCGGGGCACTCAGGAGCACACCCTCGTGTCCCCGGCCCACGCCCCGCGGACAGAGTATGGTTCCTCGGGAGGGCGTGCGAGCACAGGCTCCCGCCCCGGGAGCAAACACGACACAGCGGTCGCAACCACGGAGCAAAGTTCTACAGCCACCTGGGTGCTTACGCTTCGGCTGAGAAGGGGGCGTGTTCTTTAGGGTTAGAGAGCTCACCCGGAAGCCAGAAAGGGGAAACTCCGTGCCTTCCGCTCTGTCTCTGGCCCTAAGACGCAGCCGTTTTCCCTTCCAAGACCCCCAACGGTAAGTCTTATCAAGGAGGGAAGGAGAACATCGCCCCGCAGGTGGAAGTCGGGAGGCGTGTGGCACACGCTGCTTTTCCCAACTCCTTGTCCCGAGCTTCTCCGATATTCTGTCTCTTCTAAAAGTAGTTCCACAGATGCTACCTTTCGTCTTCCTGGAACCGT